AAGAGCCACTGCTGTCCAGTGTCTCACTGGCCACTTCTTTTTTAACTAGATTAAATGTTGTGTGATTAACCCAGTTTCTAACGATGCATATTGTTGCTACGTAAGACTCTACAGAGAAACAGTCAGGTGACTAGTTTGAGCTGGGTCTCAGTGTGTTGTCGCATACCCACTTGCCTATACTTTTCTTGCTGTGAATATTCTTGGGTGAATGGGTTTTAAGGCCACAAAGAAACGTATTCATCTGCATCGCTGGATTTACAAGGATTTTCGCATGCCAGAAACATGTGCTGCATGAGCTTCGTGTTAGTCATTTAACTCTGAACGTGGTATTAGTTTTCTGAGGCAAAAAATAAACAGAACTGTCTAAGCAACAAGCTGCTGTTGCATTTGTTAGCAACAAGCTTTGTGATGAGACAATGGCACTGTATTGCCCATTAACAAACAGAATGCATTCGTGTGAGCAGGCGGCATTCAAGGGGAACTCCAGAATATTCTTCTGAGCCTTGCAGCTGGGTTTTAGGGAAAGGTTTATTCTCTTTCTTTCTTCCTTCTCTTTGGAATTTGCTTCTAGTTTTTGTCCTCTTAGAAAGGCCTTTAAGTTTTCTTGGTGAAAAAAGAATATGGTTGTTGATAAATGGGTGTAAGTTTTCTCCTGTGTCTCTCTCTTCATTAGCATGTTTTAACACAAAATTAGAATTGAAGTCTAGATCTGTTTTATTAATATAAAAGACAACTTTTGTCTCTGAATTTTAGGGTAATTTAAAATGTTATGTACAGAATTTAGAGTTTAAGGATTATATTTAAAAAGTGAAAATTTCCCTTAAAAATTAGCTCTTCCAAGTATGCATTTCTTTAGGTACATCCACAAAGCATTTTAGTTTGCAGTAGATTAATTCATATTAATCCCCCCTTTTTGGTGCTCTGAGATTCTGTTTTTTCCTGTTGAGATAAATGCCAAGTTAGTGAGCGCTTTGGTCAGGGTCTCTCCATTAGCCAGGCATAGCACAGAAACCATTACTGAAGTCAAATGAAAATGTCTCCTCAGCACACATATGTGCAGAAACATCCTGTAACATCTGACAGATCATCTCCAACAAGGTCATCTATTAACCTGAAGTCTGCCTGTGACCCTTTGTGATAAGTACTGGAAAAGCTGCTTCTGACAGAAAAAATTGTTTTATGGTACTATGTCTAAGTTTTTTCAGTAAATTTGTTCAGCTTGCCTAGGTACTGTTTTATGCATTTGTGCATTCGACTGCGTGGATGTGAGAGGTAGTGATCGTGCTAGGGAATTGGAGGTCTGCTGACGTGCAGAACATTACTGAGATTGCACTGCTAGGGAGCTGGGAAACAAAACACAGACCCTCTTCTTTATTACTGGTAGTTCCAGATCTAATCCAAGTATATTATGACTCATCTCCAGAGACTGTGATCTGACCTGCCAAATATGTAGTCATCTTATTTAAATAAGAATATTTATATTTCTCTAGCAGTCACCTGGGCCCTGGACATGCCTAATGATCCTACTGAGTTTCCGAAGTGAGCTTTCTCTTCTGCTCTCCACAGTGGATCCTACACTTCCCTTTCCTCAGCCTCTGATCACTCACTCACCCTTCACCCCCTCGCTCCACGCAGGCAGCCTCACCACTGGGAGAAAACTGAATCCATGTGAGGAGAACTGCCCCAGCTTTTGGCCCCCAGTCTGCAAACTTCCCCGCATCTGTGTGCACCTATTCTGCCTTCTGTGTCACCCCTATGGAGAAGTTGGCTTTTTTCCAAAGCTGACCTCATCACCTGTCTTCTGGATTCCATTCCCTATCACCTTTCTTTACTTTTAACTGGTTTGTTAAAACCAGCTCAATTCTCTCTCATTTAAAAAAAAAAAAAAAA